AAAGATGCAATCAAAACAGTGGGTGCCTATCATTTCACTGGGCTCAGATCCCAAAGTAGGTGACTTGAAGCCTTTTCTCTGAGCCAAATCTTGGATTAGAATCATGAAGAGGTGTCAGGTAAGGAGAAGCCAGTAGGACGGCCACGGACCAGGTAAGATTAGTGTAGTTCCTTCTCCTGTTGTTAATTCATTTGTTTAACGTATTCCAAGTCTCCATAAAACTGACAAGGAATGTTCATGCACACCAAAAATCTCAGTCACCTTCACGTACTTGAAACCCATTAGCAGTCTGCTTGTTGGAAGGCGCTTTTAGCGATGGAAGCTGTTCAGAATTTAGCATATACTTGTGCCTACAGGCAAACACTCTGCTAAGTCACCAGGTCAACAACACTGAAGGACAAATCACTCTGGTATCTAATAATTATTACAGAATAGAAATTATTATTAGCAATAAAATTAAAAGGTAGACATATAGCATTTTCTCAATAAATGTTTAATTGAACTTGTATTTTCATTTCACATTTACTGCATTTCTAATGCAGTCTAAAAAGAGAAAGTGATAGAAGTCATCCTGCCTTCCTTTTTTCCTTTATGACATTAGGATACAATTGTATCAACATCTGATCTGTTAACATCTTTGGTGTCAAATGTCTATTTCTGTTGGACCAGTTTACTAGCAGGGGGTCTCACTGCTACTGTTATGTAAAATTTAAGTTTCTGGTCTAAATCCTACACAGCAAATTACAAAAATATACTCATCTTGTTTAAGGGGGTGGAGGGTTGCATCCAGTTATCAGAAACATGTGACTATAACTGTTCACCTATAACATAGGTAGGCCATGGCAAGCAGATTAAAAAATTAACACAGTGGTGCAGTGGTTGACAGTCCGCCTGCCGATGCAGGGAACAAGGGTTCGTGCCCCGGTCCGGGAAGATCCCACATGCCGCGGAGTGGCTAGGCCCGTGAGCCATGGCCACTGAGCCTGCGCGTCCAGAGCCTGTGCTCTGCAACGGGAGAGTCCACAACAGTGAGAGGCCCGCACACCGAAAAAAAAAAAAAAAATTAACACAATAGTCAAGAAAAATTGGTCAAGAAAGTCTTTTTTTTAGTGTAAAAGTTACTTTTTATTAAAAGAGAATTCATGGTTTCACATGTAAAGAATTATATTATTCCTAACTATCTTGTGCTGTACATAGAAGGCACTTAAACAACCATTGAGGAATAAACCGAGTATCAGTCCGTATTTCAAAAGGTAAAACACATTTTGTAAAAGAGCTTTTTGTTCTTTTTCTAAATCTTTACCATAGGTGAACTTCACCACTGACTTCTAAAGAAAATACAAGATTTTTAAAAAGTTCAACTACTAGTAAACATAGCTGCAACTCTAACAGGAAATGGGGGTGAGTTTTCCTTCCTTCCTTCCTCCTTCCTTCCCTCCCTTCATACATAAATACATACATACATATTTACGTACGTAAATAAAATTCAAAACCAACTTCAACAAACCTCTTTACTGACAGTTAAAGCAAAAAGTAGCAAGTATTACTGCAACTTGATTTCATGTCAGCTGTTGAAATACATGATGAATCCAATCTGACTGCTTACAAATTTGACTAATTTCAGAACTCTTTCATTTTAAAAAGTCTCTACTCAGCTGTTTTGTGAGATGTTATTTTTCAGAATGAATTAAAATGCACCAAGAAAGCATTTCCAAACAATAAAGTACTGATGCTTGTTTGATCCACGTTCAAGTTGTTCACTCAGATTTTGACACAGGGAGAAAAGGCAGAGTGTCTATTTACTATTTACACTTCAGAACAGCATTCGGTATCACCGGGCCTAGCATAGACTACCACCAGGCCTATCACTGAAGATTATAACAACAGCAACAAACTACAACACATGGCAAAATCGATATTCTCCAACTTAAAATTTTCACTTTTTTGGTCTCTAGTGTAAGGATTACAACAGACCCACAGCACAAAATAACTGTTATTCCAGGAACTTCTAAAGTTTCTTCTAACATTTCCTAATTTATTCCAATAATTTTTAACTAGATGATCTATTTTAGACAATGTAAATTTTTTCATTTTCCCTCAGAACATTTTGCTAGAAATGCAGCACTTTTTCAGAAGGATCAGGTCATGCTTAACTTTCTGATTTAAATTTTGGAGCTTGCCCCTTGAGTCTGAGAAAATTATGACTGACCTCGCTTTGTTACTGCCACTACTTTTTTGGTAGACACTCTATTTCTGAACGTACTGTAAACAGAAACAAACAAACAGAAAGATTTTACCCTCACCAAACTTACATTTTTTTAGAACTTTTGGGATGGGATCCCCATCAAATATTTTACTTAAAACTGGTTTTGCATCATTCCTTTCTAATTGACTATTTTTTTCTTCTTCTTCTTCTTTTTTTTTTTTAACAACAGGAAACACAATGCGATTGTTCTAGTTACCATTTCCTGCTTCTTACTGGTCAGAATGCCAGTGAGTCTACAGTGATGCTTGGCTCTTCTACCTAAGCATTCCTTCTTATTTATACTGGCACTATACAACTAGTCTGAACTTTAAAGCCAAACAGATAACATTCTTAGTCACTAATTTTCCATGAAGACATGTGAGAAACTCTTTGAGTGACCCATTCCAGACCAGGATGAAATGCTGGTTTGCTACCTTTCCAACTGGCACCATGCTGCCTCTGGGACATTCTTTACGGCCGGCGTTCCTGGACTGTGCTGCAGCTCTTTTTACTTTTCCTTTCTTTCTAAAAGAATGACACCTCCACTGGTGCTCCGAACTTGGAAACAAATGTATCTCATTGATAACAATCTTATAGTCAAGCAGCACATAACTTTACAAAGGATTTTAATAATCTTGAGTAACAGCCTGTTCATAGGGACTGCTATCTACTGAAGAAATCACTTTAAGAAAGCAATGAGTCACTGGGGTGATAATAAATGGCCACAGTAACTGGCAGTTTAACAAAGGAAGAACAATGTAATATTCCTCAGAGGGAATTAAGATGGACCAGATCTCAGAGTAATCAGCCACCGCTAAAATCGGGCTCACACTGAAACAAAATACAGCAGGACTATTTGATGCCATCAAGGTTCCCTGACTGCTGTTTTGTATACTGCGCTGATTGTGCTGACTACATATTAAGTATTTAATAACGTGAACAAGTAAATGAAGGCAAAAATAAATGCACTGCCACGGCAAACAAAGCGCAGAACTGTCTGACGAACACAAGCAGGAAGCCGATCTGAACCTGCCGTCTACTCTGCCTGAACTCAACACCTAGTAATCACTTTTTTTCTCACCTGGGTATATTTACACCTCACTCAACAGGAATGTCATTTAACACCACAGGGCAACGCTGCCACAGCACAGGCCTCATCTGTGAGGCCCGTTCCTTGAGAAGGTGTTTACTTCTCTGACATAATCTGCCTGCACATGGACCAGGGTGAGAGAGCTGCTTTGGTTATGGACTCATTTTATGAACCCAAAGGGATGATAAACAGTGATTTACGTATCATTTCACTCAATTTTGTTTTGAAAACAATAAGCATGAGATACTCAATCATAATACTGTAATCACTAAATATAAAAAGGATATACATGTCAAAATAGGGAATATAAATAGGCAGAGATCATTGAATATTGTTAATAGAAGCCTAGTTTTTTTCTTAAGTTTTATTTTATTTACTTTTTTTGGCTGAGCTGAGTGGCTTACGGGATCTTACTTTCCTGACCAGGGGCTGAACCTGGACCACAGCACTGAAAGCCTGGAATCCTAACCACTAGGCCACCAGGGAACTCCCTGGAAGTCTAGTTTTCACACGCAGCATTGAATGAAACTCTTCTAACCTGCTTGAAAACCATACACCCTTGTGGGCACCTAGACTCACAGTGAAACAGCTCGGCAGCCAGTGCTACAAGTGCTGTGCATTAGGACCCTGTCCACTCCGCTGGCAAAGAAATTCCACACAAGCTCCCTCCTTCTCAGAGTACTTCCTTTCCCTATCGCATGACCTGTATAAGCCAGAGAGGGAAGAAGGTAAATATACACATTGGTTTGCAAGAGTTACACTTCCTTGTCATCTGTTTTTTTGTTTAATTAGAGGGCAGAAATGCTCACCTTCTTAATGACAGCTTGTGTGTGATTTCTCCGATATAGCTCAGCCGGGAGATAGGACTGAAGGCACATACTTGGACTGACCAAGAGTTGGGGATTTGAGTTACACAAAGGGGATCTAGGCTGGATGGGGAAGAAAGTGTACAGGTTTGGAAAGACGGAAGGAATTGAGTTACTTCGGATAATGATGGAACTAGGGAGTAAGATTAAGAGCTAGGGTAAGAGATGGCACAGAAGTTGCAGTACTGAAATCGAGGCGTAGAGCTGGAGCAGAAAGGGGATGGTGGGGTCCAGGTGAGGATGACAAGCGAGTACAAAGGGGGGCAAGAGAAGGAGCCCCAAAGAAAAACAGGAACAAGAACAGGAATCAAGCAGGTCAAGGAACAGGAAGCTCCTATGTGTGATGGATCCATGGAAGGAATATTTGCATAACGTACCTTATATAAAAATAATTCCTTTCACTTTCATGTGATAAGTTGAAAATTCAAATTTGATTTAAATTCAAGACAAAACAAATCATTCTGAACATCACAGACAAAAGCACCAATAACTATTCAAATACTCACAATAAAGCGATGAAGTCCATAGTATAAGAGGATATCTGCTAATGTGAAGTTATATCCTGTAAGGTAGACTTTATCTTCAAGATATGAATTAAGATCCTAGTGAAAAAAAATTAAAAAATATTAATTTAAAAAACAGTAATAATAAAGTTAACTATACATTTGACTTGAAACATTTAGAAGGCTATTAGAAAACACAATACTGACATTTAATTTAATAAATTTAATCTTTGACAATAATAGATTTGAATTCATTCAAAATCACAAATCACATAACAATCAACTCATTTTTAAAAATAAGGTAAATATTATTAGCCTTATTTTAAAGAAATAAGAAAACATTAGAAAATGATATTCACAGCCATCTCTGATCATTTCAAAGACTCCAATTTTTTTTGCGGGGGAGCATTTTGTAAATCATGCTCATGTTGGATTTATTTTTTCCATTAAAATATAAAAAGCTCCTCAACAATTCCTATTTTTTTAAAAAAATTATTTATTTTATTTATTTATTTTTGGCTGCATTGGCTCTTCATTGCTTCATGTGGGCTTTCTCCAGTTGCGGTGTGCAGGCTTCTCATTGAGGTTGTGGAGCATGGGCTCTAGGCGCGCCAGCTTCAGTAGTTGTGGCACAGAGGCTCAGTAGTTGTGGCTCACGGGCTCTAGAGCACAGGCTCAGTAGTTGTGGCGCACGGGCTTAGTTGCTCTGTGGCATGTGGGATCTTCCCAGACCAGGGCTCGAACCTGTGTCCCCTGCATTGGCAGGTGGATTCTTAACCACTGTGCCACCAGGGAAGCCCAACAATTCCTATGTTTTAAGAGAATTATAATTTATTATAATTATAATAACTATAATTATTAATTACAATAAGTATAATCAATAATATCAATTATATTAATTAATATATCAATGCTATTAATTATAATATCGATCATATTATTTATTAATATTAATTAATTAAATTAATGTTTTAAATATTGTGATTATTGTTGCATTTTAATATATGTATATTTTTAACTTTTAATTGAGGTAAATACATGTAACACGTAAAATTAATCAAATTTTAATTTACCACTGTAACCATTTTTAGGTGCATAATGCAGTAAGTGTTAAGGGTATTCACACTGTGGTGCAATCAATTTTCAGAATTTTTTCATCTCAGAAAACTAAAGCTCTGTACTTATTAAACAACTCCCCCTTTACCTCATCCCCCAGGCCCTGGCAATCACCATTCTGCTTTCTGTTTCTATGAATTTGACTATTTTATACATTGTATATAAGTAGAATCATATACTATTTGTCCTTTTGTGACTGGCTTATTTCACTGAGCATGATATCCTCAAGGTTCATCCATGTTGTAAAATGTGTCAGAATTTCCTTAAGGCTGAATGACATTCCACTGTATGTATAGACCACATTTTATTCATCCATTCACCTGTCAGCAGACACTTGGGTTGATTCCACCTAACTGCTACTGTGAATAACACTGGCATGAACATGGGGGTACAAATATCTCTTTGAGACCTAGTGTGAATTCTTTTGGGTATATTTCTGTAAGTGGAATTATTGGATCATACAGTAAATATGATTTTATTTTAACTCTTGATGAATCGCCATACTGTTTTTCATAGCAGCTGCACCATTTTACATTCCCACCAACAGTGTACAAGTTTTCCAATTTCTGCACATCCTCACCAATACTTGCTATTTTGGTGTTTATTTTTGGTAGTAGTCAACCTAATGGATATGAGGTGGTGTCTCATTGTGGTTTTGATTTACATTTCCCTAATGATTAGTGATGTTGAGCATCTTTTCATATGCTTATTAGCTTCGTATATCTTCTCTGGAGAAATGTCTACCTGAGTCCTTTGTTCATTTTTAACTGGGTTCTTAGTTTTTTGTTGTTGTTGAGTTGTAGTTCTTTATATATTCTGGATATTACCAGATATATGATTTGCAAATATTTTTCTCCCATTCCATGGGTTGCCTTTTCACTCTGTTGATTGTGTCTACTGATGCAAAGAAGCCTCACATTTTGATGAAGGCCAATTTATCTATTTTTACTTTTGATGCCTGTGCTTTTGGTGTTATACCCAAGATATCGGTGCCAAATCAAATGACCTGAAGCCTTCCCCTTAGGTTTTCTTCTAAGAGTTCTACAGTTTTTGGTATTATGTTTAGGACTTTGATCCATTTTGAGTTAATTTTTAAATATTGTATAAGGTAAGAGTCCAGTTTCGTTCTTTTGCAGTTGGATATCTAGTTTTTCTAACACCCTAAATACATCAATTTTAAACACCATTTAAAGCTACAGAAAGTTCTCTGTCATTTGTTCCTCAGATAATGACCATCAATTTTTAAAAGGTTAAGCACTGAGCTCCCTAAACAGCTGAGAGGCACTTCTGAAGGAAAAAAAAATTTAAGTACATGTTAAAAAATTAAATAAAAAATTTAAAGGATCCTAATCTAAATCAGAAGTATTGTCTGATAGACCAGCATAAATAAAATCAATTAGTTTCCTGAGAAAAGAAAACATGTAGACAAAAGAATATATATTATATACATATTTTTGGTCCCTCTCGAAATTAACATGTAGTTTAACAGCACAGGAATTTACATTAAATTACATTCACATGAAAGGAGACAAAAGATTCATCTCACCTTCAGAGAAAGATTTATAAATATCAGATATTCTCGCAGGCTCCTCTAAAGACTAGTTATAAAACACTGCCCCAGAGGTCAATAGCATTCATTCTAGAAAAATTTCTTAAGCTGTAGAGAGAGAAGTGTTTTGATTCTCAAATCATATGCCAAATGCTTGGCACATAGTGGTTCAGTAATCAGTAAATGTTTGCTGAATTGAATCTGATCTCTTTGAGTTTGCCCATGCCTTCACTTAAAGACAGTAATTTTCAAAACGGTATATGAATATGGGACTGTTAGGGGTGGTACAGATGATGACATAAAGGAACACGGACATAAACAGGGAAGCAAATGCATAAGAATCAAAATAAAATTGGGTAGAGAGGGTAAAATACACTGGTATATTACAGGCTACCACTTAAATTCTATAGTAATCTGCTTAATGGAGATGGTTTTTCTTCAAATGTCTTCAAATGAAACAAGTTTAATAAAGCATAAGAATAAAATAAATATATCTACAATTAATGTTAAGAAGCATTTTTAAAAAGGTCTGAAACAATAATTCAACACTGCTTTGTATAGTATATATATTAAAATAGAATCCATATCTATATTTTAGTTATAAACTCTTGTAAGGTTATACTCTTTAGTTATAAAGACTTTGAAATGGAGTTTCAAAAACTATGAATAGGTAATATCTTTCTGATTAGTGATCTAAATCAAAATTTTCAGAAATTAAATTCTGATTTTTCAGAAATTCAGAAAGTTTTCAGAAATTGAATTCTGAAATTCAAAACAGAATTTCACACATTCAAACTATTCAGGGAACAGAACTAACGTCTGATGTTCATGACATTTTTTTTTAAACAAGTCTTTCTGATGGCATTGCCAAACTTTAAAAAATATTTCCCTCTATAGAGTTCCACCTGATTTTTCTTTTTCCTCTTAATTACCTATTATTAAACCTTCTAATAATATTGAAAAAGCAGTATAATAAACAACTATATATCCTCCATCCAGATCCAAATGTTATTGTATGCCTGCTTTCTGAAATTACACCTTAATTATGAGCCATTGTGGTTTTAACTCTGAAATGGAACTTTTGCAAGTAAATGAAATCCTTTCACAATATCCTTAGTAGCAAAATTTAAAAAAATAAGTAATAAAAACGGAAATAGCTCAGTATAAAAACAGGCAAAGAACACATGTAAGCAAATTTTTAAAAATAATGAAGATGCTCATAAGCATTATGAAAAAAATGCCACGGCATTAACAATGTCAAGGAAAAAAGTGCAAAGTAAACAAAGAGATCACTTTTTGGTTTGTTCTGGTTATGAAATTGGGGTGGTAAAGAAGGAAAAGTGGTAACATCCAGGGCAGCAAGGGTTTTGTGGAAGAAGCCACTATCAATACACTTTTCTGGAAGGCAGAGGAGCAACATAGCCTTAAAGACATATACAGCTTTGGCCCAACCACTTCCCTTGTAGGGATCTGCCTAAGGAAACCAATGGGAATGTGTGAAAATATTCAGCAACAATCTAACACTACATGAGGACAGACTAAATCTTGGCACAGCTATGCGACGGAGTACTAACAGGTTATCAGAGACCGTATAAGCGAGCATTTACGGACTTGAAAAGATGCTCCCAACATACTGTCAGTGAACAAAAAAAAACAAGTTACAGTGTCCAAGAGTGGCCCGTTTTTAAAATACAACACACATATATATGAGAAAAGAAAAAGCATGTGAAGAACACGAAAAGGAGTCAACAATCCACTACCTGAGGACCAAACATAAGTGTTGCTAACAGTTCTCACTCGATGGTGGGACTACAAATGTTTGAAATTTCTCTTATTTGCTTACTTATATTTCTTAAAGTTCTACAACGGATACTGCCTTTAAAATAAAAACGCTATCATGAAATAGCAAAAAGCAAAGTAAAACAGTAAACAACCCTTTCTCATCTGGCCCCAAATCACACACACATCTGTCTCCCCCACTGGTCTGAGTTCTGTAAGGGCAGGGGCTGTGCCTAGTGGGTCACTGTATCATCAGCCCCTAGGACCGTATCCTACTCATCACTGTAGGGACAGATGAGCAAACAGTGGCAGAGCAAGGGCGACAACCCAAATCATCCAGTGCCTTGTACATTTCAAAGATGGTTATATCGCCAGCTGGATTCTCCCAGTTGAGATTTCAGACAATAATATTGACATATCCCAGACACAATGTTTTATACTTCTAAGCTCCTAATACCAAATCTCTGAACACAACTTTTGAACTTACACACCCAATTTCAATGAAATAGTTCAGAATTAAATACTTTACTACTAATGCTTTCTTTTGGAAAACTGTAAGAGAGAGTTATATTTACTTTTTATTTGCCTGAAAGCTCCCATTCACTTAGAGGGAAGACATGCTTGCTTCCCTTTGGGAACGCTGCCACTCGTGGATATAAAAAAACAGGACAGACCTATAAAGGAAAGAGACCTGAAATTTATTTTCTACCAGTTCTATTGATGGTATCTGTCAGGAATACAGTTTAAACCATTTCTCCCAGATTAATAAATGAAAAACTTTCAGTACCATAAGATCTTGTACAACTTATATTACCAATTTATAATTGGAATAAAATTAGGAAACAGAAGGGATTCCTACAATGACATGTGGTTGTCTGGGTGATCTCTAAGGTTCCTTCAAATTTTAAGCTTAAAAACAAACAAAAAAACCCAAAACAATGTTTTATTTTTATATAATTAACAAAAATTATTTTACTTATAAAGATTTTTTATTCTTAGTGATTCTGGAGCCATATTTGGTTTATATTTTATATCAATAGATTCTTTAATTCTAACTTGACCTCTTTAGAAAGAAAATACAAATCCCAAAACAATCAGTCTCAAAGGCGGGAAATGTGGGCTTTCTCAGATCAAATGGACAGAGTTTTACAAACTACAACCCCCAAAACTTTGATTCCCCCTTGGCTTTAAGAAAGTACTTTACTGCTTAGGGAATCAGGACTGCAGAGTGGGGGAAATGAATATCAAGCCATCACATTAAAAAATCATACAAAGCTATTATTATTGACTATGATTAGTGCTGCAAAGGAAAAGCACAGGGTGCTGTGTTAGGAAAGAAAAGCATTTAGAACAAGGAAGTGCATCTGTCTGAGAGACAGTAGCCAAGGACGACCTGAGGAAGGGGTATCTGAGCTGAGGTTTGAGCTGAGGGGCTGGCAGAGGCTGCTCCAGGCAAGGTATCGCCTTGTTACATAGGAGCTACCTATGTAACAAGGTAGCTCCTTGTTAGTTTGTACAAACTAACATGAGGCAGAAGGAAACAAGTAAAGAAAGCCAACAACTTCAGTTACTGAATCTCAGGGAAGAGACATCCTGTTCTTAAGAGTTCACACATTTCAGCCTATAAAGAGACGTGGCGATACCTTCAGAACAGTGTGGATGTCATCTTTATTGCAGTGTCCATCTACTTGAGTTACCCTGTATTCTAACCACTGTTGAACCACTGCTTTTTCCTCTGCGGTGCTTCCCAGCAAATATTCCTTGTTGGCCTGCTGGACTAGGTGAGCTGCTATGGTAGTCAATCCCGTTAGACTTGGACCACTGTTCGTCTGAAGAACTGGAATCTTAAAAAGAAAAAAAATTCTTCAGATAAATTTTAAAAACAAATACCATCACGACTGTAAGTTCTAAGTAATTGCTAAATCCCAAACTGTCTTTTCAAATACCCTTAATATATTAAATTACCTACAAATGAGTCAGGAAAATAAGAGTTACATAATTTACATTTGATAATAGATGCTTGATGCTATGAAACTGGTAATAACATTGCAAAAATTAGTAATGATGCTTCCGTATAATTTATAACTACATATGTACAAAAAGAGAAAATGGAAATCCTAATAATACCACATTAATTTTGATCAAGGTTACCCATACCTTATTTAGCAAGGTGAATGAACACGCTTAAATAAACCCAACTTCTGTAATAACAAAAGTAAGAAACAGTTATAGTGAACACTGAATTCATGTTGATAGAGCTAGAACCACCACATGAGTTCTATCCTGGTTTAAGTGATATGTGACCTAATATAAATAGTTATCTCATTAGGTGTGGACTGCGATGGTGATTTCCTTGCCATGGATTGCATATTCATCAATTTTGGGGTCATTTAGAGTGAGGTCACTGATTATAAAAGTCTAATAATAAAGTATGGGCTTCAGGTAATCACCTGAAAAACAATCCGACTTTCTAAGTTTCCCCTACTGTAACAGCAATCCGAAGGCTCAGATTATAAGAAATTGCTAATTAATTTAAATGTTCTTGATGCACAACTAAGCGAAGCATTTTGAGAAATTTAAAAGAAAATGGAAAGTATCACCAATGGGGAGACTGATCAATTATAAACAAGTATACAACCTAAAGGACCTCAGGAAACCAAAAGAGAATATTTCTCCTGGAAGACGGCTGCTCTTTTCAGCCATCTGTTCAGTTCAAATAGTATACTGAACTCGGATAGCGATTTTCACTGTTCAGGGCCCTTTCACACTTACATCTAGGTCAATATGACCATGTGAAGTATATGGGGAGATTAACATTTTATGGATACAGATTCAAAGGTTACCTCCTAAACGGTAAAGGAAGCAACCAGAGGTAGTCTCAGCTTTCCACTTCCTCACCGGCTACTTTCCATTCATTACTTAGCTCCTTGAACTCTGACTTTTGCCTTCACCCTCAAGTGAAACCATTACTTCTAAGATCACCAATAACCTCCTTTAAAAAAACGCATTAAAAGAAAACAATAGCAACTCACTGGGGATGCTGCCAATGTTCCATTCCTTGACTGTGTTTGTGTGCATTTTATGGCAGGTAACTCACTGAGATGCGTGTGCTTTTAAGTAGGGGAAGGGAGGGAGGGAGGGAGGGAGAAAAAAAGAGAGGGAGAGGGAGAAAGGGAGAAAAGAGAGAAAGAAAGAGGAAAGAAAAGGACTCACAACTGCTGACTGTGGGGGTAAAATGACAATTCTAGAAAATTATTTGGAAAAATAAATTATCCACAATCCCATCGCAGGAACTCAAAAAACTTCCGGTTATTTTCTCATCTAATCATTATATCTTTTAAGACAGGTAAGTAATTTCCTCCTCAGTTTACAGATAAAGAACCAAGGCCACCAGGTTTGTAACGGCAGAGTCAGGGTTTCAATAAAGTACATTTGGCTGGAAAGTTCATTCTCTTTCCTTTACGCAGCCTAAGTAAACAAACCTCATGCAGCTGCAATCACGGAACACATACCACTTCACATTCATCTTAAGGTTCCATGGTCTTCAAAGTGATCACTTTCAATGGCTACATAAATAATATTCCAATGTGCTGATGCACATAATTTAATAACCATTCTCCTAGAGCTGGATTCCTGAATTGTTTTCAAATTTTTATTATCGAGAATATTGCAGCAGATGCCTTATTGCTGTCAGTTGTCTTCCCCCCAAAATGAATAAATCTTACCATATATCCTCATCCCTTTCCCCAAACACATCAACGAAAACCTCCAATAGCTGTCCTCTGCTTAAAAAAAAAAAAAAAAAAAAGGAAAAGAAAGGTTTAATTAAAATAAGATAAGAAACCACACTCTGAACTCCACAGCCCTCACAATTGGGCCTCGAACTACAACTCTGGGTTTACTTTGCATTGCATCATCCACCGTATTGCTCTACTTGTTACCCCCAATTACCCAATCTTTCGTAATTTACTGGTCTTACACACTTTAAATACCAGCTTTTCATGTAGTTTACAAAGTCATTTTTAGAGTCAGAATTAACTTTCTCTTCCATACTCCTCAACAACGCTTTCCTCCATTTAGCAGCTCTTCTGTTCTGATTAACATGAGCTGTCGATGACTACGTCTCATACTGGATCATAAGCTCTCTGAAGGCAAGACTCATGTTTGGCAACGTTCCCTAAAAAATAGAAACCAAACCAGGGAGTAGGGGCAGAAGGGGAGGAATCAGCAGGAGTACAGAGGCAAAAGCACAAGCTGGCCACTCGGCCACTCTGGCTCCAATGCCTACTCTGCACCCATCAGTGGGCTGGTCTCAGGCAAGTCATGTTATCCTTTCCAGACTTCAATCTAACTTACGTGTAAAAACTACAATACAACTGCTCTGGAGACAAGATTTTAAGATGCACCAAATGAAGAACAGAAAAAGTCACAACAAAAACCAAGTATCATCTAGAAAAAGATCTCAAAGGAGCAAAAAACGTACATAATCCAAAGTTGTCTTCCTACATTTTCCTCTGATACTTTGATTCCTCCACCGCAACCACCCACCTAATAAAACACAAACGTCCTTCAAAGCCCTCAGAAATCTGAGTCCTTACACCCCACCAGGCAATCTCCAACCGCGGAACTTCCCCCCTCGATCTCTGCACACTGCACACTGAACTTGACCTCACAAGGCCTCAGAAAAACCGAATCTCCCAGATTGCGCCAGGACTCACTACGTGATCTCTCATACGTCTACGCTGCAATGCAGCACTTTTCAGTACTGTAACTAACAGAGCTGCAATGTTTGTCCACCCAGCTAAAAATCAAGCTTCCTGAGGGGAGGGGCATGTCCGCCTCGACCACCTCCGTATCCCCCGGCCTAACACGGTGTACTCGGCACGCCGTTTGCTCTCCGCAGTCGCTGCGTAATTCTGAATGAAAGGTACTGTTACAGCAAGTGCTGTCACTGAACGCACACGCGGGGCCTCCAGCTCGGTCCACCCGAGGGCTCTCTGAGGACCCCCTTGCTTTCCCAGAATGGGATGATGATGACAACTAGGCAGGAGGAAAAGTTCAGGCCAAGCCCGAGAGGAGCAGGTGCCCCCTCCTCCCTCCGGGAGCCAGGGCCGCAGGACGAGAGCCGGCGGCGCAGACACGTTGTGGTGAGGAGACGCGCGGCATCCTCGCTCCGCCGCCTCCGCCCGCCGGCCCGGTCCCAACCCGGCTCAGCAGGCCGCGCTCCCGTCCACCTCTCCCCCTCCGCGCTGCCTCAGCTTCTCACCTGGCGCTCGCCCTGAGCGCTGTACTTGTTCCCTTTACTCAGCCCCAGACACTTCTCCAGCAGCGTCAACTCCGCGGCCGCCGCCATCTTTCGGCCGAGCTCTCGGCAGGGGCGGGACCGGGTCAGCAAGGGTCTCCTGCATTGGCTTAGAGGGACGTCCTACTCTCACAAACGTCACCGGCCACTGGCTGAACGGAGGGGGGCGGGGAAGGTGCTCCTGTGCGCAGAGGCGGGACTAAGTGAGGGGCGGGGCCGAAGGCGGGTCGCGGGTGGTGTGACAGGTGGAAAAGGAACTAGCAAACCTCAGCGCTCCAGCTCCGGGGTAGCAGTAGAATTCTGAATTTAAAGATTATCAAAGAACACTGGGTATGTTAGATAGTGTCAAGTAATTTGTATAGCCCATTCAGCCATTACTAGTTTTAATGATCTTTATTTGCAATACCAAAAGATATAATAGCGATATAATTTATGTAGATATATTTATGTGTTTTATGTATATTTATGTTTAATTTATGTGTGATAGTGATACAATTTATGTAGCTTTTGGTATATAAATAAACAATGCACAAAACGCTTTCTCCCTAAGATAGTCTAACATCTTCAAAGTAGAAAATGAGTAGTATATGTTGAACTTAGAATATTTCTAAAAGTTTTATGAAAAATAATTTCCACATTGAAGAATGAAAGAACAACGTGTGTATTAGTCTGAGAGAAATGGAAAGGAAACACAAGGTAGTTCATCACTAAGTCAGAGATATAGTTTAGTGGGGAATGCTGTCACTGTGTGACACCTTCCCTACCCTAAAATACTTAAAGAGTTAATTATGGCAGCAGACATAATTGTAAAGAAAAGAAAATTTGGCCAAGTCGACATAAACAAAAGACAAAGGATATTCCAGTATAAGTGGATTATTGTGCATTAATTATCTGTTTATTTTCCTTATACAGAGAGTTGAATAACTATTTCACTCCTTCCAAAAAGGCCAGTCCTCTGAGAAAATTCACTCATCTATTTACACGTTTTGCTTGCAATAAAATATTTAAAAACATCTCTACAGTTATCTAATTCCAATGGGCATTATATTTAAGATAAGCCTTGACCTAAATCACCTAACCTGAGATTTGATTTGAATTCCAGTATAAAGTATCAGAAAGGACATGCACACAATGGTAAAAGTGATAACTCTGGGAGAGTAAGATTGGATATATGGGTGAAATATCACTTTTTAATTTATGCACTTCGACTTTAAATATTATAGATAGATTTTGTAATTTAAAAGAACGTTGTTTGTTTTAAAGTACTTATAAGTTTCTTTCTTCCCTTCAAGTCCTGAAGGTTTTTACATTGTTATTTATTTCTTGAATGGGTGAGAAGTTCACTTGGTTTGAAATTCAAGGGCACAAAACAGTATACAATGAAAAGTCTCTCTCCATCCCTCACCCACAGCATGGGGATGGTTGCTTTAGACAGGGCATCAGTGAACACCTCTGAGGAGGGGAAAACTGAGCAGGAACCTAACAGAGAACTCGCCAGCCATGCAAAAACGCCAGGGAAGAGTGTCCCAAGGCAGAAGGAACAGCCAGTGTGAAAGCCTAGAGGCAGGATTGAACTCTGCATTTTCAAGATGAGACTTGAAATTATGACCATCAGACTCTCCACGATCCCATTCTGTGTCCTACTGGTAACCCCTGCAGTGAGTTTGGAGTGGATTTTTCAAGACCTTTTATTGGGCATGTACACACATGTATATGGTACCTTAGGTGTCTCCTTGATTTTTTTCATACCCTATGTATCATTTGGCAATTTCCCTTTACTCAATAATGTGTTGGAGACTTCTTTCATGCCACTTACACACCTCATTCTTTTTAGCTGCTACTCAGCACTTCAGACAAGAGCTGTGCAATGGTTTCACCATCCGTCATCCTCTTGATGGATATTTAGGTTGTTTCCAATTTCTTGTCCTTACGTCACTGCTGCCGTAAGATCCTTGATCAGGCTCCTGTGTACATATGCAAGAGTTTCTCTAGTGCATGGGTCTTGCTACTGTAGATCAGGGTTCAAGTTCTCCCAGAGTGGGGGGGGAGAAGGGGAGAGGATTACTCCATTCTTCAGAGAAGAATTAATGTCAGAGCATGGCCTGTCGAGACAGTTGGTGTTCGGGGGGCGGGTACCTTAGGTTCCTTGATTTTTTTCATACCCTATGTATCGTTTGGCAATTTCCCTTTACTCAATAATGTGTTGGAGACTTCTTTCATGCCACTTACACACCTCATTCTTTTTAGCTGCTACTCAGCACTTCAGACAAGAGCTGTGCAATGGTTTCACCATCCGTCATCCTCTTGATGGATATTTAGGTTGTTTCCAATTTCTTGTCCTTACGTCACTGCTGCCGTAAGATCCTTGATCAGGCTCCTGTGTACATATGCAAGAGTTTCTCTAGTGCATGGGTCTTGCTACTGTAGATCAGGGTTCAAGTTCTCCCAGAGTGGGGGGGGAGAAGGGGAGAGGATTACTCCATTCTTCAGAGAAGAATTAATGTCAGAGCATGGCCTGTCGAGACAGTTGGTGTTCGGGGGGCGGGCCTTGAAGGTTTTTAACCTTGAATTTCCTTTTCTTCCCTGGTATTCCTCCTTTTGTTGTGGATGTGCATGACTGGGGAATAAAATTGGTTGACCACTGCAGTTCTTCTGAGCTGAAAAGGAAAGCAGGTGGTGCCACATAAAAAGGGGCAAATTTAAACCAGATTTCAGGAGTCAGACATTCTGGTTTCTGATTAGCATGAACTAGTTGTGTCATTCTGGGAAGGCAGTTAATCCCCTTGGGACTCAGTTTCCCCAAGTATAAAACAATAGGCTTGGATTAGATATCCTCTCTGGTTCCTTTTGGTGTTGACATCCAGTTTTTTCAATACTTCAAGACTTTTGCCTTAAAGTGAATATGTATTTTTGTACCACTAATGTTAATTTTGTCATTGTAAATTTGTAATGTAACTGTGCTACTAATGCAGTTTTGTACTGTTGGCTGGAAGAGCCTTTTATTGTGGCCAACTGTGGTGTATAGATAAAATGCTTGCTTATTTGAACAGACTTTGGGGGTGGCCATAGAGGGGGGGGTCTAGATGTTCCTATCATACTCTCTAGTCTTAATACCAACATATGAGAAAGAGGATAAGTACATGTAGACAGGGCTGCTTTCAAGGGCATGCTTAGAAGGACCCTGTGCTTGGTATAACACTCTGCTGTCTCCATCTTGAAACTCTTAATAGCTTTTAAAAAGGGGCCCTGCCTTGTCTTTTTGCACTTGGCCCAATGACTTGTATAGCCAGTCCTGCATGTAAAGCTTATTACCTTTGCTCTCTGATTTTACAGGCTAAAAAGATTCCAAGAAACATTTAAGGATTTGACATTCAGTGTCCAGACAAAGGTAACTGAATATATCTTTCATGAATGCAAATCTATTTCAGAAACTTGGACAAGATCTAGCTTGGCTGCCTCTGTGTACATTATTCGCCTCTATAGGGAATCCAGAAGGAAACTAGTGCTTGCTGAGCACTATTGTGTGTTAGGTGCTTTAAGCATAAGTTATTTCATTCAGTCCTTCACAACGATGGGAGATGTGTGGCCTCCAGTTATCAGTCAGGGCTTTTGGATGCAAAGGACAGTATCTACTCTGATTAATTTAAAGGATATTAGGAAGCTCACGATAATGTTAGGAAGCCTACAGGAACAGTCTCAAAGCTAGGGTTCCAAAACCAAGCTGGAGAATTGGCCTGATGAGGAAACTTCTGCTGATGTCATGGCTTCAAAGTATTGCTACAAACATAAGAAATTAGATTTTTCTGCAGCCACTGCTGCTACCAGCACCAATGCCACTTCTGCATCAGGAACATGACCTTAAAATCACTGGGAAACTGCGTCTCTCTCACCGTCGCCTTTGGAAGTCGGTTGCCTTGGCTACCAGCTATTCTCTCAAAGAGGGCAACTCCACGCGCGGTGTCTTTTCGAACATTTTTGCTCACTTCTTCCTCTTTTTTTTTTTGAAGTACAGTTGATTTACAATGTTGTGTAAAGAGCACATGGAAATGAGAACAGCTTGTGATTGCCTTAGAAGAAAAAAAGCTGTTGTTTCCACGTAGATGCTGGAAGAGCAGGGGGGCAAGGTGAGATAAAAGATTACTAGCGAACTCTAATATTGTTCATAAATGGTGACTGATAGGCAGCATCCCAAAGAAGAGGGGATTAGAGTTATTATATAAAGCTAACCTTAGAACAAAAATACTAACTTTCTTAAACACCAAGGGGAAGAGAACACTCAAGCAAAAAAAACAAAAAACAAAACAGACCACGTAAGTGGATTACTGTAATCTTCATGAGTGTATATAATTTATATAACATAAGTCAATATGACAGAGCTGAGGCCAAGTATATCAGTTATATTAATAGATATATATGGGCTTAACTGACCTATAAAAAGAAAAGGGTTTTCAAATTGGCTAATAAAGCAAAATTCATATAACATAGTTTACACGAGCACATCCAAAACAATACAAATGGTACTTTATTTGTTTTTTATTTTTTAAAATAAATTTATTCATTTATTTATTTATTTTTGGCTGTGTTGGGTCTTCGTTTCTGTGCGAGGGCTTTCTCTAGTTGTGGCAAGCGGGGGCCACTCTTCATCATGGTACGCGGGCCTCTCACTGTCGCGGCCTCTGTTGTTGCGGAGCACAGGTTCCAGACGCACAGGCTCAGTAGTTGTGGCTCACGGGCCCAGTTGCTCCGCGGCATGTGGGATCTTCCCAGACAAGGGCTCGAACCCGTATCCCCTACATTGGCAGGCAGATTCTCAACCACTGTGCCACCAGGGAAGCCCACAAATGGTACTTTATAATGCTACAGGTGACAGTACAGAATAAAGATAAAACACGAATTAACATTATGTACACACTAACTTGACAAAATTTTCACTAAAGCAGATACAACAGGAGATGCTAGGAGAAATAGAAACCTGGTAATAGTAGGAATCCTTAATATATCTCTCTCAATCTGAGACAGAGCAAGTAGAGAAAAAAAATCTAGAAGAATCTAGAAACTCTAGATAAGACAGTTAAGAGTGTCGAACACGTACATATATACAAA